ATGCACGACCTTTATTTTGTCCTTTGGGCTTCCAATTTGCAGGTTTCCCGTGGATTTCCCAACATTTCTCACGGGTATGACCAATTTTATTGCAGTGGGTGCACAATGGACGACCATCCCGTTTTGATTCTCCGGAGGAACGGTCAATGGTACGGTTGGCAGCTAATGCAGACATATCATCAGACTTATCAAGCAACTCCTTTTCTCCCAGCATAACTCTCCGTCTACTGGCTTCTCGACGAACTTCAGCAAAGGCGTCAGCAAGTGAAGGTAACGGTCGCTGCCCCAATATTCGACCACGAACCTCATCAAGATCTCGGTTGAGTCCGGCAAGGAAATCATACAGTCTTTCCTTCTCCAAGTGTTTTTTAAATTGGGTATTAGCTTCCAATCCCTTAAGATCAGATGCATAATAAAGATCCAATTCCTGCCATAAATTCGTTAGTGCAGTAAAATATTCAGTAACAGTCATACCCCTTTGACGAAAGTCTCTCAACTTATTTCTCAGTTCAAAAACTTGAGAGGTATTCTCCAGATCAGAGTAATTTTGTTGAACAGCATCCCAAATTTCCTTGGCAGTATCAAAGAACAGATAGGTTTGGCCAATCTGTGGTTCCATGGAATTAGTCAGCCAAGCCATGACCAAGGAATTATTAATCTCCCAATCGTCATAATCAGGAGAATTCTCAGTAGGTTTCTTAATTTTTCCCTCAAGATAGCCCATCTTACCCTTTGCCCGGATGACCAACTTAACCGATTGAAACCATTGCAGAAAATTCTTACCGTTCAACCGGTGATTGGTGATCTGCAAACCTAAGTTGTCTCCAGAGGACTGAGAATTTGGGGCAGATGAGGAGGCGGAAGAGTGTTTTGAGGAAGCCATGAATAAAAAGAGAAGGGTTGACCGTTGATGAAAAATCAAGTTTTGTAAACTTTTGATCTGACCTCTGGAACAGGAAGGGGAGAAGCCGGGGAGAAGGTCTGTGCAAGTCGCAGCGGAAAAAGACGTCTGGAAGGCGGCGCGTGGAGCTCACGCGCCGGAGACTGGACGAGCGTGTGACGGCGCGTGGCGGCGCGTGCAGCGGCTGACGGCGATGGGTCCAGCGGCGGTCGACTCGTCGGATCCTTCTGAGTCGAATGGTCACCTCACTTTCTTGATCGGAGGTCAGTAAACTAGGTTTCTGTGTTGGACAGATTCAAGGAGGTGTTTATGAGGTGTTTGACGGTGATGGAAGTGTTTGGATGGTTATTTCAGATTTGAATTAGGGTAGGAACGAACCCGCTCTGATACCATATTGAAAAGAAGTTTTTGTATATTTCATATTGAATAAATTACATGAGTGAGTATTTATACAAGAAAGAATCGCTAAGAATGACTAAGCGATGACTAATCAATCCTATCACAATCCTAATCACAATTAATTCTAATCAATCACAATTAATTCTAATCAATCATAATCAATCATAATCAATCCTAATTAATAGGAAATAAAAACGGAAACATGTTTTAATTCTAATTTTCTACTTTTTTTTATTTTTTGTAATGTCATAATACGTATATCAGCTATTATAAAATTGAAATTTATCCTTCTCATTTTATGATCTAATATCTTATAAAACGAAATATTAGATAATCTTATGCGTAGAAAAGTCAAGAGACTATTGTATTGCATACATATACAAGAAGAGATGGATATTTAGTGGGGGTGTGACATGAGGATGATGCAGCATGCTCTGTTTGGTAGTTAAACTGTTAAAGCATGTTCTGTCAAGAATTTTTGGTTTCTCTTAGGTGTTCTACTCATGGCTGCTTCAAGAGAATTACGATCTCAAGTATGCAAAGAGATTGGGAAGCCTAGCTGCATTCTTAATCTTTCCCTATTCTCCTTTGTGTACTGGCTTTCTTGTTTTGGAGGATTCTTTTTTCTCCTTGTTGCTGTACTTCCCTCTTTTCTTTTACTAAAGCCTTTTTCTATGCTAATGAGCTTGTAGCTCAATTGGGCTTTTTAATGTCTACTTATTTTGAGTTAGGGGGAAATGTCTACTTAAAAAGGCCCTTTAGGATTGTCTTAGGAAACCCATAGTTTTCTGATTTTTCGCTTTTGATGCTATCCAACCCAAGAAAGTGCATGCTTTCTCTTGCTATGAGTGTTTCCTCCTTGATACCTATTTGTGAAATACTGATAGTTCTCTGTAACTGTTCTTGATAAATGTTTTGGTCATCTTAAAGATTGCTTTGGAAACCCTAATCTCCTATTTTCCCCATTTTTGAAAATTTTTAAATTAATCTATAGGTGCCTATACCATTTGGGAATTTTCAACTAGCTCCTTATATTTTAAAGGTTTGTGACTGGGTCCTTACAGTTTAAAAAATTTCTGTTTTAGGTCCCTATATTACAAACTTTGATAATCCCCACATTGAAAATATAGGGACCTACATATTTAAGTTCTAATTGAAAATTCCCAAATATTATAGTGACTAACAAATTAATTTATCCTAAAAGACCTAGTACCTTAATATTACAACTCTTCTATGTCCTTCGTCAGAGCAGAGCCCTTTAGGACAAGCTGGAGAATGGAGAGATATGATTTTATTTAGAGCACTCTTGTATGCTTACAACTTACTCTGGAATAAGAAGCTTGTAGATGTTGACGTGTAAGTCCTTAAAATAATGAGTTGACTTGCATATAAAATTGCTATTGCTTGGTATTAGAGTAAAATTGCTAGTCTCTGTTTTTTTTTTTAATTATTAATTATTATTATTATTTTTGGCCATTACTTGCTTGTCAATCTGGTTGAATTATTAAAACTCATGAGTGTATTCTGAGTTGACACTTTTGCTTTGAAGAATGTTTCAGCCTTTCATTGGACAGAATTAGGAGTTTAATGAATGGGCCTGAAAAGTCTAACTAAAACTTTTTTTATAAATTTTTTATCTCAGATGTTTAATGGGACCCAAATTCAAGCTTCAGTTTGAGTTTTAAACTGTTGATCAATCAGGGCTAAACACATGTAATCAGTTTAGTCAAATTGATTATTGTTGAATATGCATCAGTAAAAAGGGAGGCATAAGTTAAACATCAATTGAAACTTGAGTTCATATAAATAGGTCAGACAAACCAGAACATACATGAGATAGGATTGGGTTAGCTCCCAATCTCATCATTCGTCTTAAGGATGTGTATTTTTAAACTGATTTACAAGTTCATATGTTATGCAAGGGAAGCACACTTCTGAAAGTAATAACTTTAAATATTAACTAACATTGTGATAGAGTCCTCCAACTAAGGGGGCGAATCGGAGCAGTGATAAAACTATTCTTTCATGACTGAAAGGTCATGAGTTCGAATCAAGGAAACAGCCTCTTTGCAATTATGCAAGGTAAGGCTGCGCACAAGGATTTCCTTCACCCCACACTCGCTAGTCGGGTTTAATGTGGAATGGTTTGTGGTTTTATTGTGATAGAGTCCTCCAACTAAATACAAACAAACAATAGAGAACAGGGAAGTTTTTGGATTGGTAAACCAGAATTTATATATTCATGGAAGTCAAGAGACAATTACAATCTAATGACAGTGAAACAGAGACACTGATTATAGAACGAAGGGAAATTACAATGAATCCGGAAAACAAAATAACAATGCAGAAACGGGAAAAGGATAATGTGAGAAAATTGGAGATGCCTCACTCTCCCAAGGTTCCACTTCCACTCAATATTCCAAGATACCCTTTCAGAATGTTGACCTCCTCCTCTAAGTAGAATAAGCTCCCCCAATGTGACCTAATGCCATCCAATGTGACTTCCAACAACAATAATGTGACTCAGCATTATGCAATATTCCCCCGCTTCTCTTTCTTTTATACACCCTTCTAAACCGTTTGCTAACTAGGATCGTATCACATTGATTACAAAATTAAATTAATTTTTCATGGAGGGTTGTTATTTGTAAATTATGTTTGAATTTAAGTGATACTGGTTAAATTTCAATTTTATGAGACATAATAAAGTGGTTGCAGCGAAACTCTTGTAAAATGTTGTGGGATAATTTTTCTTCTCTCTAAATTGTGGTCCTTTAAAGTTAAATTCAATGATCATAATTTTGTTTACATTGTTGTTTGTGCAGCTTTGACTGTCTCTTGTGTTATCATAGGAAGGACTATCTTCTTGTCTACTAATTGTCATCTTTCTAGTTATCTATATATTTTTTAAGTTGCTTGAATCAGAGACTTTTCTTCTTGATAAATCCTTGTAGAAATCCAAAGCTCCCGCTAAGGTCAAGTCTTTTATGTGGAATGTGGTATTTAATAGATTTAATACTAATGAGATATTGCTGGTTCGTAGGCTCCATAAGGCTCTTTCCCCTGATATGTGTGTAATTAGTGGTGCTTTCTCAAAATTCCTCACCTGTTTTTACGTTGTTCTGCTGTGGTCTCTTTGTGGAACTCCTTATTCGGCATTTCGGTGAATGTTGGGTGGGTTCCTGGTCCCTGGACCAATTCTTGATGGTTACTTTATTGCTAGGTAGAAGTAAAGAGGCCAATTTTTTGTGGCAATATTCAATCTATGCTACAATTTGGCACATTTGGTTGGAGTCGGAACTCTCATATTTTTAAGGAGGTTTCTTTGGCAATTCACTTCACTTGGGACAAGATTAGGCATTTGGGATCTATTCAGTGTAAAATACATGGCCTTTTTAATGGGGTTTCACTAAGAGTTATGCTGAGGGATTCGGAAGCTTTGCTACATTGATTTTCTCTTTTTCTTGGTTGTTTTCTTTTATGTTCTTTTGTTTTGGAGGATTCCTTGTCCTCCGTTCTCATTGTAATTTGTTCTCTTCATCTCAATAAATTTCTTCTTTTATCAAAAAATATTTTTTAAAATGGCTAGCGATTTTTGTTATTTTAACAAAATTTTAGTGTTTTAAGAGCATAATCTGCATATATTAAGTCATGTGCATCGGCTTATGGTCTGATCATCTTTTCCCCTTATGATAGATTCTTCACATGCGGTACTTGGGATGCCAGCTTTATCTCCTACAATGGTGAGCTTAGGGGAACACAATTTTTTCGCTGTGTTTTATCTCTATTATTTTAGTGCTTCCATGGAGTGTTGTTGACCACTTCTCTTGGTTTCAGACCCAAGGTAATATTGCAAAATGGAGGAAGAAAGAAGGAGATAAGGTCAGTTGGTAGATCATAATTCAGTTTGCGTTGATGCTTTCATTTTGGAGATTGACTTCTTTGAATCAATTAATCATTTTCTCCTTGCTATTGATAACTCCGACAGATAGAAGTGGGTGATGTACTATGTGAAATTGAAACTGACAAAGCTACACTTGAATTTGAAACTCTTGAAGAGGGGTAATTTCCTTTTTCTTCCTAAGTTTTGGATGACCTGTAATTTAAACTTTATATATTTGAGTATCTTACCAGCTAGAGAATTATGTTTGTTCCATTTCTTTATGGGGGGTAAGTAAAAAAATCAGAAGCATCGTCATTGAACACTTCTTGAGAGACCAGCAGCTAAGGATCTCCATATTAAGGGTCTTCAGGAAATTATGTGAGCAGTTTTGTTAGAATTTAAATGGGGGACTGGCAATATTTTTAATTATTTTAATATGCTCTTTCACTTGAAGCCTATTGGAGACTGTTGGACCATTGAAGTTGGTATATGAACGTAAAAAAGAGAGGAAGAAACAGAATAAGGCCCAAAGTAACAGGCCCATGGAGTTTGTTATCAGAAGTGACATGTGGAAGGCTCTCAATGGAGAGGAATTAGTGGGTGGTAACGTGGGAGTGGAGTCTGTTATAATTGAAGGGTCTGGGAGTGAGGAAGGCAGTTAGACAGTGAGCATATTGGTGAGGTAGGGAAGCTTGATGAGGAGTGGGGTTCTCTTCCTCATTAAGGGAGGTCACAGCATTCTCTTCTGGTCTTAGTGTAGCTGGGTTCATTGTTTAGTGTCTTTCCATTAAAGTGTCTTATCAAGTCTGTTTGGAGTTTATGTCAATATGTGTGTTACTGTTTCATTTATCTTGTGAGTAGCATTGGTGTCCGTAAGTAAGGGCTTGTCCCAATATCTCAATATAATTGCAGTGTTTTCTGATCTAATGGTACCATCAGAGAATAAACACAGCTTAAACTCTTCTCTGCTTAACTGTTGATACTTACTTACTTATTACACTGCATGAACTGAAACTAAAACATTAGAGAAGGGGTGGCAAAGATCAAAACTGTAAGATTACTCTGTGCTCTAAGACCAGTGTTAGACAACTTACTTTATTAAGGAGTAAGAAACCAAGAACTATTTTGTAATTTTGGTTGCTGTGAATCGCAATACTCAGTTAACCCTTAACCAAAAAAATATGGAGAAAACCACCCATGAATTGTTGTAGTCATTCATTGTTTCTCCACTTTGCTGTCTTTGTACTTTATGTGCATGTCTAATGCATATTTGTCCGTTTTAGACAAAAAATGTCAGAATTGATTTTCTGAATTTTTTTCTCATTTTTTATTTGTTATTTTTGTTTATGAAATGTATACCCATTTTGGCCTTCTATTATATCAGGGTTCAATATACTTGACTGATTTTGACCCTGGAACACAGAACTGTAGATCATATGGGACATACAAATTTTAATGCATAATAAAATGTGGTTGTTATGGTAATTGGATGATTCCTGCAGATTTCTCGCTAAGATATTGGTACCTGAAGGTTCAAAGGATGTGCCTGTTGGACAACCAATCGCTATTACAGTAAGTCATCATTAAGTTCTGATTCTTGCATTATTACTGTTATGTGGAAACCATTGCAAAGTTTACTTCCAACATTATTGTATTCTGCAAATAAAAGTAGCTTTTATATCAAGAAATTAATTTTGCAATTTTGTTATTCCTTCAAGATTTCTTTTGCCCATTGAATTTATTTCTTCACTTTTTAAAAATTGACAAACAATTGTTTTCCTTGTACGTCCCAATTTGTACCTTTCTGGTTTCCAAGGTGCTCTAATAAAAACTTCTCTAGTTACCCTTTGCCTGAAGTGATCTGAAACATGATTTGGTTTTAACTCTTCGTCTGCATCAATATAATAAAAAATTTGTCTGAATTGTGGACAAAAATTAAATACACACACACACACTCTATTAAATGGCTTAAATAACATAAACTTTTTTCTTTTCTGAAATTACTTGCAAATTTGACGTAGGAAGTATATTTCAGTTTTCAGTTTCTAATGGCCTATTAGAAAAATAGAGTTTGAATGTTGTAATTTTGATAAATCATAAATCTTATAATACATCTTGCAAATGCAAGGTAAGGCTGCTTACTATAGATCCACATAATATGTCTGGCCCTTTCCTGAACCCTGCACAGAGCAGGAGATTTATAGCACCAGGTTGCCCTTCTTCATAAATCTTATGACACATTTTTTTCCTTCATGTAATCATTAAATTAATTGATTTTACTATTAATTAGTGGGATTCAATCGATGTCTGTATTTTAAATATTTGATTAATGTAAGCTCTAACGTTGGGCCTTGACAAGGTTGAGGATGCAAATGACATTCAAAATGTTCCTGCTTCTGTGGGGGTTGAGACTAGGATTGAAGAGAAGAAACCAACACCCCAGGATGTCACAGATGAAGAGAGGAAACCAGAATCAACTTCTACTTCAATTAATGCATCAGAGCTTCCACCTCATGTCCTTCTTGAAATGCCAGCTTTGTCCCCAACAATGGTGAAAACATTTTGATGCTACACTTCGTAAAAATAGCATCATAAATTTTCTCTCTTTTCATGAAGACGTTAGTTTTCAATTTATTTAATTTTTCTCTTCAGAACCAAGGAAACATTGCTAAATGGAGGAAAAAAGAAGGAGACAAGGTTAGTTATGTTTTAATGTAACGTTTTGAGTGAGATTCTCTTTTTCATATTATTTTTTTTAATATTTTAAAATGTGAAGAATGTGAATAGTCATTAACGTCCATTTATATTTTTGTCTGCTATACATTAACTACTAATTTATCTAACAGATTGAAGTGGGTGACATATTATGTGAGATAGAGACAGACAAAGCTACCCTTGAATTCGAAACTCTCGAAGAAGGGTAATAATTACTCTTTCCCTACATTGAAAGCCATTCATTGTAAATGTTCTGTTTGTTGGGTGTGATTGTGTGCGTTACAACAAACTGAAATACTATTAGACAAATAGATTTTTGGCCAAGATATTGCATCTTAAATAATGTTTGAATATAGTGAAGACTTGTGCCATGTAATATGAATATTAAATATTTTTATTACATGTCTGATGTTTAGTAAGACATCAAACAATTCAGTAAGACATAAATGTCTGATGTCAAACAATTTAGTAAGAAATGTCTGATGTCTTACTGAATTGTTTATGGGGAAAGTGTGTGTCATTTTAAAGGATGTAAAGTTATGTCATTTTAAGTGAGAAAAAAAATAGATCATGGAGGAGAGAGAGTGGACAAAAAAAATAAAGGTGTGGGTCCCACCTCTTTGTGAGAGCGAAATGACACAACTTGTGTCATTTAAAAGGACAAACCTTTTTCCCATTGTTTATAGATATACATGGTAGTAATTAGTTTCCATTGAGCAGAAAATTAGAGTTCCACAAAATTAAAAACCAGGAATGGTGTCTCTTTCATGGTTTCAATTTGTGGTAGATTACAGGCTCTCTTTATAATCTTGCTAATTGTTAATCTCAAATTACTGACCCAGTTTTTTTAGCACAAAGCTTGCATTCTAGTTGGTTTATTTTACAGATGAGCTTTATTTGTACTCCTTTTTTCTTTGTCCTGATAAAGTTTCACTTTCGAGCTAACCAGGCCTGACAATTTTATTTTATTTTTTATTTTTTTGGGGGTGGGGGGTCTAGGTACCTGGCTAAGATACTTGCACCAGAAGGTTCAAAAGAAGTGGCAGTGGGACAACCTATTGCAATAACAGTAAGTCTGAGAATGGTTTTACAATTTTGTAACTTTCTTGCCAATGCAACATGAAATATGTTAGGGTCAGTAAAGAGGTCAAACAAATTATACATGTTTTTTTGAAATACAAACCAAGCAAATGTCTGGCCATATCATATATATTTATTGGCTGGTTTACCAAACTGTTATCCCTCCCTTGCACTGATGCTGCCTGCTGTTGTACAAGGTTGAAGATGCAAGTGATATTGAAGCTATAAAGAGTTCTATTAGCAGCAGCTCAGCAAGCCAACCGGAGAAGGCCACCCCACGTGACACTAAAAGTGAAGTCAAAGCACAGAAAAGCAATACAAAACGAATCAGTCCAGCTGCAAAGTTGCTAATTACCGAATATGGATTGGATGCATCAACGTTGAATGCATCTGGTCCTTATGGCACCCTACTGAAAGGGGATGTTCTTTCTGCTATTAAGTATGGAAAATTGTCTCCCAAACCTACTTCGTTTAAAGAAAAGGCATCACCATCTCAAAGTCATCAGCAAGTTGTAGCTTCACAACAGTCAAAGCCTGACTCGAAACAGCAAGATGCTTATGAAGATTTTCCTAATAGTCAAATTCGCAAGGTAGGTCCATTGAATATTCAGTTAAACACGAATAAGGTTCTTCAGTTCTTTCAGGGAGCATGTTGCATGACAATGAAAATTATTCATGCCTAATAAGGATATATGAACAGTATTCAATAGGGATTCCAAGCAGCCATTGTTTTGTGTCTCTGGTTGAAGTTGGTTGCTCGAATATTTAAGGGGAAATTTTGTTGTTAGACCTAATAGGGTCAAGTTTGTTTTTATGGCCTCTATCTAGTATGTTCCACACCTTTTTTTCCAAACAGAAATCCTTGGCCGTTGGTATACATGCAGTGATACAGAGCTCATTTTAAAGAATGTTTGACTGATTTTGGATGTTCTATCCTTTCTATTTACATTTCTAAATCACAGGAATACTTGGTAAAATGGATAATTAATGAAGGGTTAAGTTTCAACTATGCTTCCTTCCACTCATCCCCTCAATATATGATGACGTATCAGTAAATAATTTTGACTGTTCTGCAGGTGATTGCCAAGAGGTTATTGGAATCAAAACAAAATACACCACACTTATATGTATCATCAGGTTTTTATCCCCTTATGCCTGGCATATTATTGCAAATTAATCTGTGTATTGACCAATTGATATGAATTTTCTATTGGCATGTGTCAGATGTTACACTGGATCCTCTTCTTTCCCTTCGAAAGGATCTTCAAGGTATGACCAGTAATAATTTTTTTCATTGGCATGTGTCAGATGTTATCCTCTTGATCATGGTACATTTGCAAACCGATATATTTTTATTGCTCCTTGATTGCAGAGCAGTATGACGTTAAAGTTTCAGTGAATGACATTATTATCAAAGTTGTAGCAGCTGCTCTCAGAAATGTACCAGAAGCAAACGGTAAATAATTTCCTCTGATTGTTCTATCCATTCCGGTTAGGTTTGCATATAATTGTCATAGGAAATAGAGGGAATTCCCATCACAAAATAATTATTTTATTTAGAGTTGTGGGTTTCCTTTCCCTGTTATTGCACATATGCTTTAAAGTTAATGTAGTATTTTTTGTTTTCTGGAGTATAGAAAGCAATGGCATCTTGTTTCCGACAATTTGTTCAAAGCATCTTTTATTTATCGGTGTTAACTATGGGTTCTAGTTCTGGTTACAAAAAGACTTGATTACTTTAGTTTTGGTGATAATAATATCATCAACATAAATCTGATAGATGCTCCAATTATGTGAATAATGGCAATGGAAAATGAAATGATCTGCTTCATTGTGAATCATGCCAAACTGTTGAACTAACTGCGTTGGACCTTCCAAACCACACCCGTGAAGACTGTTTCAAGCCAACTCAAGCAACCACACCCCATATAAACTTCTTGACAGGCTTCCCGTGAAGAAAAACATTTTTAATACTAAGATAGTGGAGTAACCATCGGCTAAACATCACATGGTAGCCATAAAGAGAAAGATGTGAACATAAGCTTGGGTCAGAAGGGGAAAAATGGCCTTGGTTTTGATGAATGAGTGAGTATACCTGGCTTAGAGAAGAAATGGCTAGAAAAGGTGGACAAACAGTTGGACACACCATCACGTGCCGGCGTGTGGCCATAAAGTTGTCGGAGAGAGGTGACTAGTGGTAGCGCATGGAGAGGCCTATTGACCTGAAACTTCAGGCTCCTATAGTTTGGAACCTTCTAATTCCTATTGTTGGATCAAATCACCAGTCAGATATAGGAAAAGGCAAGAATCGGAGACAGCAACTGTGGCAGACAAGAAAAGCATGCCTGAAAAAGTGACAGTCACCAAACACTAAAGCAGGGTGAAAACCAAAGAAAGGAACTCCATATTTCTTAAACTCAACAGAAGAATAGGAATGTGATTAGATCATGGAAAATAATACAATGTTGAAACCATAAGGATTCCCCCCTCCAAAAAAAATAAAAAAAATAAAAAAATAAAAATTAGGATTTGATGGAAGATGAATGGATGAGAGAAACATTATATTTCACTCACCAAATGTTCTTCTTATATGATGTATTTTTTTATTTTTATTTTGTACATAAAAGTTTAGATTAGGAAAATGCACGCTGATACGTTTGTGAGGGCTTATGAAAGAAGAGATGTAGGGGATTATTGCTCTCAATTGTATATGCTGACTCAGCAAAGGTTAGTTAGGGGGAAATCTGTTTGTTAGAGTCACACATGTGGAGCATCCGACGAAGGTTGATATCAAAAAGCAAGAGGCTTCATTTCGGGGGATCTGGACATTTTTTTGGGACTGGACTTGAGCATTTGTGAGAGAAGCCAGAAGCTCTCGAATACTTCTGGGTGGCCATTACTTAGGTGTCGTCCTTTCTTTCCTTAATTTCCTTTCTGTCCATCTACATGAAATCTAGTCACTGCAACGTGATTTGTAAGTATTTCCCTTATTCCGATTTCCATTTTAGGGTCTTCAATCGTGTACTGGTGTTAGCTATTTCATAACAGTAATTCATTTTAGTATTTCCTTTTCCATTATCTTGTGAATTGGTACTGAGTTGTAACACATACTCTTACGTATCACCTAAAGCACTAATATTTATACTAATAATCCAGGCCATGTACAACTAGCATAACTAATTGTACCAGAAATGTATATTAATAAGAACAAGACAACTGGAGGCTAGCTACATTCAGGAATTCAATGCAATACCCAGAAAAGCAAGCACTTAATACAGAGACTACCAATTCTACAGAAAACAAATATGTGGAAGAATAAGATTAACGATTACAATACCCAACTCCCTCTAAGGTTTACAACCTCACCCAAAAGTTCCCAATTCCCTATTCCAGAATAGTCTCAATTCATACATACCCCTCCACACTCCTCTGCCTCCACACTATAACCAACTCCACTCACAATTCCATTACCAGCAAACTCCCCCTCCCCATTCCTAGCTTGCCACCAGTACTCTCCTATAACTAACTCATTTTCTCTCCCCTCCACTTTCTCATTTCTGTTATCATTGTCACAGGCTGCACCCTCACAACGATCATTTGGTCATGGGCCTTTTTCTTTGGCTTCCTTCTCTGATATACAAACTGCGAAGGCCCATCAATAAAATAACCCAACCCAGTAAGATTATTAAAATAACTAGGCTTCTAACACATGAATAACCTGATATTGTAACAGATACCAATTAATTTTTAACTAAGATTTGCATAGCCAAATTCTAACTTACCAAGTTAATGATTATTCTCGTTCAAGCCTCTTTGACTGTGCCCTTAGTATGTTTTGATTTTATGCTGAACATGTGAAGTCTGTTTTGAAGTCATAAATGTGCCTAAATTCTTGCATATGAATCGAGCCATCTGGCATTAACCTTTGCTGCTTTTTTAAATACTCTTCCACAGTTCTATACAGTGGCGGATCCAGAAAATTAACGAAGGGTGGGCACTCAACAAGTTCATGTACTTATAGATCTAGGTTTGGTCTAGAACGCGACTTGCGAGCAGCTGTCGGCTAACTGGATCTGGTTTAGATCTAGATCTAGACGGATTGTGACTCAATTAGACCGATGATGGAGGAAGAAGCAAATGTTTCAACTTCCAATAACGGAGATTGAGATTTGAGAGGAGATGAATCAGTATGTATATGCAAATGATGGGTCTGGAACAGAGCTCTTTGCTGTTAGATTTGGATAATAAACGTGGAGGAGAAAAAATACTCACGGGAAAATAAAATAGAAGGAGAAAAATTAAAGGGGCAGGATATCGTAACAACCAACTAGGGTTACTACCAATCAATTTCACCGTTAGATCGATTATGTTGATCCAGTGGTTATATTTATTTTTATCTTTGTATGGTTATGATCCTCATATTTAATGTAAAAGCATTAAATATGAGAAATCATAACCATACAAAAGTGAAAATAAATATAAAGTATCAAATATGGGGAATCATAACTATAAAAAGATGAAAATAAATATAACCGTTGGATCAACATAATCGATCTAACGGTGAAAATGATTGGTAATAATATTAGTAGTAACCCTAATTAATTGTTATAATATCCTACCCCGAAATTAAATTAGAAAAACTTAAATTTTAACATAAGTGTATTTTTGTATTTTTACTCATATTTTAAGGGTGGGCACTTGCTCCCCTTCTCATCTACCTCCATCCGCCTCTGGTTCTGTAATCAAGTGTTAAAACTATTACAACATGGGTATATAATTGTCTTAACAATCCCGTGCTTGGTTTATAGACTTGGATACTTTTCATTCCTGGTGCATTGTTTACCGTCTTTACACCTGTCATTGCTCTTTACATTTTTGTCCATTTCTTTGGATTTTATACCCAACATGCCATATCTATTTTGGAGTAGATGAGGTTAAATTATCTATATAAACCCAACCAGCCAGTACTAATCGTCATTGACTTGTTTATTCTTTCACATGCTGAAGTCAGAGTGTTAAAATATTGTAAAGGAGATACATAATTGACAAACAATCAAATACTTCGATGATAGATTGTGATATATGTTACATTCTTGGCATGTTGCATTCTTTAGTGTTCATATCCCTGTCATTGCTCTTTACTTTTTTCCCATTTGCTTGCCTACTTTTAAAACTGAATAATTCTCCATAGAAATTTCTAATGCTGTAATCCAATTTACATTATGGCAGCATACTGGAATGCTGAGAAGGGTGAGGTCATTTTATGCGATTCTGTTGACATATCCATAGCAGTTGCCACTGAAAAGGTAATTGATGGTGTTTAATTTTCAGTATTCGTTTACAAAGCACTCAAACCTTTTGTGTGGCTACAGGGCTTGATGACTCCAATAATAAAAAATGCTGATCACAAGACAATATCTGCGATCTCCAAAGAGGTAATTTTAAGTCATTCATGTAGGTTTTTGTTTAATGACTTTATTTGGACTTCTCATCTGTTTGTGTTAAATTTAAGCATTCATGGTCCTTTTTAGTAAATTAAAATATTGGAAAGTGGGGTTCTTGTTTTCTTCTTGAACAACTTTGATAGTTTATTGGTACATTAGGTCAAGGAACTAGCTGCAAAGGCACGTGCAGGCAAGTTGATGCCACAGGAATTCCAAGGGGGGACTTTTAGGTTAGTTTGCTACATATACTGTCGTACAAGCTCGTAAATTCCCATTTTATCATCTTTTAAAAAATATATATATATTATGCCAAAACAAATAATTCAGAGCTTTATACATTGCCTTTATGCAGCATTTCAAACTTAGGAATGTTTCCTGTGGATAAATTTTGTGCCATTATAAACCCCCCACAGGTTCGTTCTCTCTCTCTCTCTCTCTCTCTCTCACGCACACCTAGAACTAGTAACATCTAATTTACTACCCTTATATAAGATTATAATAATTGCTTGCAATCAATGTAATTCCAGTCACTCACCTATAAATAGATTGATAGAGATATATAACTTTTCTTTTCATAAAACTTTTTAATAAATAAGTTTCTACAAAATTATTTTACATATATTATGCATGTGTTGCAATTAATTATTACTGTAATTACTCAGTTACTCACTACTTTATTCACTTATAAATGGCAAAATCCCAGTACACAAGGTTCCTTGATTTTGCAAAGATAGGGATATGGGTCGATTGTACGCAGTCTTACTCTTACATTTTTACAAAGAGGTTGTTTCTCATACTTAAACTATGACCTTTCAATCACAAAGAAGTAACTTTACCGCTGCTCCAAGGCTTACTTATAAAGATGAAAAACCAACTTATATTTTTTCTATATTTACTACATCAACGGAGAAGCAAACTGTCATAGTGAACCTGGATGATTCTTGCCTAATTTGATTTTCTTTAAAAGAAAGAAGAAAGAGAAGAGAACTGGAGATTTCAGGTTTAGAGATATTCGTAAAAGTCACTTTAGTTGCAGACCCTTCTCGAAATTATTGATATTCTTTGACTTCCCAATTTCTTTTGTTTGGTAAAGACAAAGCGAAATTCTATTTTTGGTACTCTATACTATGGCAATGAAGAATCAAACCATCACAGTGAACCAAGGACTGCTAATTCCTAATATGATTGACTATTGAAGAAAGGGGAAAAAACTGGAAAGAGTACAATGGATTTCAGGTTTACCATTCTTGTTCCAGGAACATACATTTGATGAAAACATGTTACCTTGAAAATCTTTTCAGAATGCGTGGTTTATTAGTATGAGAATAGTTACCCAAGTTGCTGACCCCTAGTGGACTGGATTTTAAAATGTTCAAAGTGTTTTGTTGCTTCTTATTACTGTGGCTTTCTATTATTTTGTTTATCGAATGCTGCAGGCTTGCATTCTTGCGGTAGGGAGAGGCAACAAAGTTGTGGAACCAGTAATTGAAGCTGATGGTATAAATTTATGGATGTTCTCAATGTCATTTTATTGCTAAACTTTTAAGTTGTTTTGACTTTGATTTTTATTTGCTAGGAATTGAGAAGCCATCAGTTGCCACTAAGTTGAACTTAACATTGTCTGCTGATCATCGGGTTTTTGATGGCAAAGTTGGAGGTATGTGTAATTAGAACTCTTGAGTTAGCCAATTGAAAGTAGAAAGAAGTTTGATTACTCTTACATACATGCCTTCTGGTTTGAGAAGTTGCAAAGCTGATTGGGATCAAAGCAGCTAAAATAGAATAAAATCAATTGCCATATATTCAGTTAATGAACACGGGAATAATTTTTGCATATACAATTACATGTTAGCACGTGATAAGAAATGCCTTAGTCATGGCTTTTCTTGTATGGTTAAATTGTTTCTTAGATTAATAATGGGAAAATGACCCAAAAGTTCAGCTCACTAAGATATTTTCCTGTCAGCTGATATAATTTTTTTAACTAAATAATAACATAGTTTAACTCAAAAAACAAACATAATTAACCACTTGTGAAGAAGTTTCAATTTCAGTTCGTAGATTGTTTTTGTATGCATATAGTCAACCTATAATATACCTACATTCTGATAAATCTTGGTTAATTGTGGATAAATTATTGGTTAAATTAGTTTGATATTTGGGAAAAGTGTGTGTCATTTTAAAGGATGTAAAGTTGTGTCATTTTAAGAGAGAGAAAGAGATAGATAAAGGAGGAGAGAGAGTTGACAAAAAAAAATAAAGGTGTGGGTCCCACTTCTATGTGAGAGTGAAAAGATATAAGTTGTGTCATTTAAAAGGATAAACATTTTTCCCTTGATATTTAGTTAATTAAAACAAAACGGAAATAGAACACTTCACCAAGCCGTACAAAATGTCATTTTCTCATTAATAATTAATTGACTGTTGAAGAGACCTTGGTATGAAACATATTAAGTAACGCCTACGATCCCTTATTGCTGTGATTCACCAAGTTACACTTTTAAAATGTGGTTTAATTATATTTTGCAGGTGCATTTCTCTCTGCTTTGCAGTCAAACTTCAGTGACATAAGACGACTTCTTTTATAATGACATGCAGCAAATGTTCTTGTTACTTGATTGAACTTCTCATGACTAATCAAGTAGATTCACCCCAACCTGGATCAAGCTTGCATAGCACCATTTTTGTCATTTATAATTTTATCTCCTTATCTTAAAGTTTTCAGATAAAGATTTCCTCCACCCCACACTCGCTAGTCGGGTTTAACGAGGAGTATTTTTTTTTTTTATCTAAAAGTTTTCGATTGTTGTGCCTTATCAGTTTTTGGAAAATAATATCTTGGGTCTAGTTACCAAATATCCTGAGAAAATACCTGTCAAAGTACCATGTAAAATTAGGTTTCCAACGATTGAGATTCAAGCAGGTTGGAAATTTTGTTCATTAGGCAATCTGATGCCCTTTGATGTTTTAATTTTGTATGAACAGCTTTGTATAGACATACCAACATTTTGATGAATAAGAATTCCTTTCATGTGCTGCATATCCGACTTAAGTGATGGGAAGATTTGTCACAATCGGTACTTTTGGTTCAATGTTCATATGCTAGGCTGTTCTGGCCTTGCGGTTAGATTTGATGATGGGGAATTTGTGCTTAAACCTTCCCATCAAAGTCTGGATATAGGATTGAATTCATTGATGAATACGTTTATGCAACTCAAGGTAGCACCTTCCATTCCGTCATTGAATTGCACTTGAAAAGATGAAGGTATTTGATTCATTTAACTTTATTAATAGCTACAGAAACTTAGCCATCGGCAGATTAAAGCCAAAGATTTGACTTTAGCCCGTTCATTGACTTATTAGAAAATAATAGATGAACTGTCTTATTATTCAAGCTCTAAAGGAGTTCCATTTTTCTTCTACAATTTGTCAAGTAAAGTTGATCCCTAGCATTCATAAATCTGGACTTTAGTTAATTATTTTCTTTAAAATTGTTTGTTTGCCAAAGCTTCTAAAATTGAAAGTACCCCTAAAATGTTATCAATAACGGTATTCACCAAAAAAATGTGATAAACTAAGATTATTATTTGATTAAAAAGCAACAGAAATTTGGCAAAAGAATATTTAAAATTTGGTTTCAAAAAGGATTTCTGCAAAGTGGCAAGTGATTCATCCATTTTTGTTTTACAATTAAATCGATTAGAAGATAACCAATTTCAGTTACAAATTTGGATGGCCTGCTAATAAAACTAGCCAACATATCAACACGTCCCAGACCCACAAATCAAATGATAATGAACCTTTGAGGATTACTTGATTTCGGAATTGGATTTCATTCAAACCCTTTCATCCTGAACTTAAAGTCCATCTTTCCTTGCATCACTCCATGTCTTAAACTTGCTCAACTTTTTGGCCCAATATTCATACACGTTTGTTTAGCTTAATTTTTAGAAAATACTCATTTTTTATTTTAAAAGCTCTCGAAAAGATTTTAATTATAAACTCTTTTTTTTGGGTAAGTTATTATAAACTCTTTTCGAATAAACACATTTAGCTATTGCAGGCCACATATGAGACATGAATTACCAGATATAATAACGGACTATCGATTCAAATGACTTTTAAATTAAGTTTGCTAGAAATCACTCGTGGCGCAATTTTCGCACCATAGTGAATGAAGAATGTCCATTGTAGGTAATATTTTGGAGAGGTAGACATGTATTTTGATAAATTTTTGAGTAAATAATAGTAGTAGTAGTCGTATGAATCAAGTGACGAATATGTCACCCAGTATTAGTATGATTAAAAAAAATGTAGAATAATGCATCATTGAATCTCATTAACAAAAATGGTATTAGAGGAAAATAGCTTTCGAGGAAAGATACGGAAAAAGAAATTAAAAAAAGAATTAACTACGGCTGATGGTCAATATACAAAACCCCAAAAAGGAAAAATAAAGCACAATTTCAGAAAATATTGATATAACATTTTTCAATTTCCATACCATCATTGTTCAAACCTGCTTTAGCCTCTAAAAACAATCAAACAACAAAATTTCCTTCCCACTGTTCAGAGGACTCAATACCAAACACAACAAAAGAGAAGCTGCACAGCCACTCTAAATCACTCAATAACTTATTACAAAAAAAAATAAAAAAAATAAAAAAAATCACTCAATAACTAGTAGAACTGGATTCCATGACTCAATTCAGCAAAATAAGTGTTAGGCTACCTCTATAATATGTATCTTTAGTGTGTTTATTACTAAATGAAACATACAATGCAAGAATCAAAGCGTCAGGAGTTTTATCATGCACCCACAAATGACATGAAAGTTCTAATCTTCGAGCTCAATAATCTTCACAACTGATGAGTCACCAACTTTCTGGCAAACAACAACTCGGTCATGTGGCCTTATGACGCCAAAAGCCTTGCCATGGTCTAAAGCAACCTTCAAAATTGATTCATTTGTTCCACTATTAGACTCGGCCTGCACCCAAGTCACAAAATCACATAAGTTTAACAACTCTATACTGCAATATGACAAACATGGGGAATGATATTATAACAACCAAGTTGTGTTACTACCATGTTACTATCAATCAATTTCACTGTTAGATCAATTATGTTGATTCAACAGTTATAGTTATTTCCATCTTTGTACGGTTATGATTCTCCATATTTAAAGTGAAAGCATTAAATATGAGAAATCATAATCATACAAAGGTGAAAATAAATATAAAGTATTAAATTTGAAAAATCATGACCATACAAAGATGGAAATAAATATAACCGTTGGATCAACATAATCGATCTAACGGTGAGATTGATTGGTAGTAACACAACTTGGTTGTTACAATATCCTTTCCCGAAGCATATCCTAGCAATACTAAATAACAATCAATTTTACATTTTGCAATGGCTAACCCAAATTTTCGGAATAAAAAAAGATCAAATTAAAATAATCATAGAATTCCTTATGAAAAGGGAAAGCAAAAGACAGGAAAAGTGATATCATAGAATAGGGCAACCTATGGACACTTCCTATTGTGTCTATTTTCAATCCCATTAATTACTTTTACTTCCAATTTCCTGAATTGTCCCCAATTAAATATGAATGTGCAAATAGAAAAAAAAATTGTGATATGTACCAAAAAAAAAAAGAAATATAATTAAGGATTGGCTTTTTTTTAATTGAGGGAAATTAAAGATTTTCAAAGTGAAAGTAGTTAATGGGAGTGTAAATAGACAACTGGGTGTCCCAATAATAGTCCTATCACGTAAAACAAATAGGACATAATGTAGAATGAAGTTGATTTTATAATAGATCTCAATCTGGTAATTAGGGATTTTAATGTTAATTAGGGTTTAGGGTGTGATTGTTTTGGGCCTTGGAATATCTTATTTCTAGTTGGATTAGCATTTTATTCCTATTTTGAATTTGGATTTCTTGAGTCTCGAGTTATGCTAGTAGAATTAGGTTTATTTGATTAGCCTTATATAAAGCACGTTATTTGTTTTTAGATTTTAGATATTGAAATTGTATAATAAGAATTTGAGTTTTTTATATTGTTCTTTGGTTCCTCTTCCTCTTCCCCATTTTACATCGCTATATAAATCAACATTGAATAATACTTACTGGGTGTCGTGGATCTGCAAGCATAGGGAAAAGACCCCTCACAATAAGTGATTGCCTAGCCTGCCATAGGGTCATAAAAGGAAACACATAGCAACAACTGATTAGTTTCAATGTCAAATTTTGTAATGCAAGTCAAGCAAAGACAAACTTTCAGTTTAATTGAAATAAGAAAACACTAATAGATAATTGAAGCAGAAAAGAAATATGCATATGGGCATAGAACAGCAGCATTTTTTATGAAATCATTTTCACTATCAAATAAAGTACTAGCATAAACCATGTTTCTTCCCATGTGTTAATGAAAGCTAACAAGCAATTTCTTTATTTTTTATTTTTCATGTTAATGCATAATGATTCTCCACAGTGAAGTTTGAAAGCATTACTTGTTTGATCAGTACTATTTATACTTTAGAAGGACAAAATGTTAACCCCATGGCCAGGTATTCACAAGATAGATTTTCAGTAATTAAAAACAACTGATGAAATATCTTCTACTTTCATATGTATTTCAAGTAAGAAAAATATTCAAATTGACCTTGCTCTTTTAAACAATGAACCTAAAAAAGTGTCCCACCCCCCCAAAAAAAAAAAAAAAAAAAATCAAATTTGACATAAAACTGGAATTGATGATCCTGCGACGATTAGGAACTCTATCCAAGAAAGTTGATAATATGTGCATAAAAATATAAAACTATTTATAAACTTTTTATCAAGAACTATAAAAGATGCCGATACAATTGTAAAGCTAATGTCAATTATATACTCAAAAACACTTGCTACATTTAGTTCAGTTGCCCAATTCAGTTTCAACAACTGATGTAAATCTAATGTCAATTATATACCTCAAAAGCACCAGTGAATGTCCAGCGCAATTGATTTGTCTTCAATTGAGGAATGACAACAGATATCACAGGCATAGTTGGTCTGTACTTAGCAATCAACCTACATAAACACACAATATGATATATCAAAACTGCAATACAATAGAACATGACTGTCAATGACTTAAATCCAACATGGAACTAAATTACCGAAAGAAAGAAATCAACAAATGTGAGATCTTGCACCAATAACCCCAAAAAACGAGAAGTTATTTTAACAAAGGGGAGTCATAAAAGGAGATAAAATGAAACCTTGCAGCTCTTCCAGATGAAGTGAAGCAGATAATAACAGAGGCCTTAACCTTGATGGCTGCTCGAACCTGTATGTTTCAGCAAAAAGAAATTTACTTCCCAATATGTTCTTCAATCAGTACATAATCCCTTGAGCAAGTGAATAGAAGAATGTTGGTGGAAAAAACATCATAAAACAATCCAAAAATAAATAAAATCAGTAGTGCAACCAAGAAATGTACCGCAGAGGATGCTATTGCTTCCAAGTGGCTCATTGGCTCTCCCATACATTTGACAGCCTTCTTATAAAACAAATCTTGATTATAAACTTTCTCTGCCTGCACATAGCGGCTCATTAATTTCAGTTTACATTTCTTCTTTTAGAGGGTGGGGCTGGAGAAGAATCCCGAGAAGGGAAGTAATCTTGACACTTCACCGAAAACAGGAAGCATTGTAATAATGTTTTCGAACTCAACAAGTTGTTTCATAGATCATCATTTTCATAGATCACATCAGCAAGACAGAAAAAAGAAGAAAAAGATTGTTTCAAATTTGTTGGCACAGATTTTTAAAGATCAAAGAAAAGTATATAATTACACAATTATGAATAGCCAAGACAAATTACTTCTGAAGACAAAATATGCGAGTGAGATAATATCTTTAATTAAAGTATATCTTAATAAATTCGTAAAACAAATTAAATCATTTTGTGGATAGCAGCAATTACCATTATAACAAGAAGCAGAAAACAAGATATCAAGAAGGGCTATGACCAAGGAAATGAACATACACAAATGTTGTAAGAAGCAAATGATGACAAAGCAATGAAGCTTAGACTTTGGAAATGATTTTGTGAACTGGCAGCAGGGCACAGCCATAAATTATAAAATATGCACTAGGAGGAAACTATGTAAGAATAACAAGAAATCAATTCAAAGCAACAGAGGATGAGAGATGGGTTTCCAATAGGAAAACTTTTATAATTGCAAAATTGAACATATTTACCCCAAATATCTAACCAAAGTGAGGAATATATTTTTTTTTTTATGGAGGAAAGTGTGATAGGAATGCTATTTAAAGGTAAAGCAGAAACCTACCTCAGCACAAATTTTTCCAACTGTAGAAATGGTCTCTACAGGGTATAATCCCCGTAGGGTCTCAGCCCCAAGGAGAATTGCATCACTGCCTGATCCAAAAGAAAGAAGAAAACAAATTTAGACATGAAAGGTGCACGGCATACTTATGCATAAAGAGATGAACACAAATAAGAAAAAAAGGGGGGCAATTTGGTGCTATAAAGCTTCTGCCACCGTTCTGTGGGTCTATTAATAGGCAGCCTAAACTGATTACATGATTCGAACCTGTAACCTCTGGATCACATGGCGACAACATCAATCGTTGTGCCACGGCTCCCCTTCAGTAGGTAAAGGAATATTAAGGAGTAAACTAAAAGAATATTATGTAATAACATGATATGTATTACTAAATGCGAGAGACGCAATCATAATCAAAATAAATTAAACAAGATTCACAAATATGACAAAAAGGAATTCAGATCAGGAAAAAAAAAAATTACCATCCAACACTGCATTGGCAACATCAGTTGCTTCAGCACGAGTAGGTCTTAGATTATCAGTCATAGTATCCACAACACGTGTGACAACAACTGGCTTTCCAGCCATGTTGCACTTGTAAATAGCAGCTTTTTGGAATAAAAACACCTGTCAAATCCATAATATGCAAGATTCTAGTAAAATTTCACACTGGAGAGAAAAAGGAATGCTGTAAAAACCATATGCAGACACAAATCTCCTGTGATGCTGAAAACTACAACTAAACAAAATGGAAACATATAATAGCAACTATTATCTCACTGTAAGTAAATTTCATATATTTTTTCTATCCAGAAGTAAATGCTGACCTTCTCAGGTGGGAGGTCTATCCCTAAATTTCCACGAGAGAGGATGATACCGTCTGCTTCTCTCAATATCTCATCAAAATGTTTTATTCCCTTTAAGAATTTTACAGAAGAAAGATGCATTTTAGAATCACAGTTAAGCACACTCACCAAAGGATCTCAAACTACTGCATTTGTCTGTTATAGAAGCGGAGAGTATATTGTTCAAAGGATCTTGAAGTTTCTTACCTCTATATTTTCAATCTTTGCATAAATATGTGTCTGCTTGAGGTCACCAAATTTTGAGAGAAACTCACGGGCCTGCAAATGAAAAAAATCAGGCATTGGTATTTATTTATTTTTGTGCTGAGGAAAGTTAAAAAAGAAAATGATTCACTTTAATGAACAGTGTTATAAAAACTAGGCAAAATTAGAAGTTGCATTAATATGGGAGAAATGGGAAAGACATGATAAAAATAATAATAAATTAGACATAAGATAAAACCTATTAGGAATATCCCTTACATGGCGAACATCTTCAGTGTGCCGTGTATATAATGAAAGGAAGTCTATATTGTTCCGAACACCCCATGAGCTTATAACCTGAGTTAGTGAGTAAAATGTCGACAGGAACATTTAGATTCACAAAATTACAAGATAATAACAAAAAGTTATTTCCTATTAGTGACCGGAAAAGGGGCAACTCAAACCAGTTATACTTTTGTGATTGGTGCAGATAAAGTAATTTACCACATCTGTTGAGTAAACAGTGTACACATACATTTAATATTTTGGATTGCCAAATAAATAAACCATTATTCATATTGACAAACAAACAGAAAGATAAGCCATTTTATAACAAAAATTTAAGAGTTTCAAGCATTGATTAAATCAAGGAACTAAAGTATATTGGCTACTAAACCATATTATGTCAATCTCACTACTATGTGCACACAAAGTTCTTGTTGTTACCTCCTTATCCTTATCAGTAAGAGTAGGAAGATCAATACGAATCTGAGAGACATGTAAAGTATACAATGACCCAGAGAGTGTAGCAGAGTTTTTTACGAGACAAGTGACATCATCCCCATCCACCTCACTGACCTGCATTGTGAAACCAAAACTTCTTGACTGACAGTAATAAAATAGTATAATTCTGACTTTGAGTATCAGCATTATCCTACTTTCTGCACTCTGTTTAATATAATGCTTCCTAGAAAGCAGCGTGCATGTGGCAAGTCCATTATTTGATGCAAAACAAACTTTCAATTATAGAGCAGTAATGTAGACTAAGAGAATAATAAACAAAGAGAGAAGAATGACAAAAGAGGTCAAGTAAGAAAAGAGGGAAATGGAAACAAATATAAGGCAATGCCTACTAGATATGTTAAAATCATGCAAAACTATAATCTAAACAATTAAATAAAGCTACATCTAATAAGAATGAAAAAAATGAAAAAAAAAAAGAACTAAAATAATATAAAATCCAGGTAAAAATACTTCCCATTTTATGTGCTTCATAATGGAATTGAATAGAACTTGATATTGTAAATGTCCATAATCTATATACATGGGATAATGAAAATTGTATTTACGTAATTACCATATATTATCTTCTTTGCAAAAATTGTAAGGATGTGTAATTCCAACACACGATAGTATACGAGGTACCTCATTTCAATGAGCATCTCCGATCATCATGCTTTTATAAATAGTATAGATGAATAGCTAGCCTATAAGTGCATTACATACCCTAAGGATGCCAAAAAAATAGTATAGATGAATAGCTAGCCTATAAGTGGATTACATACCCTAAGGATGCCAAAAGAAAGATATTCCAATAACATACGCAATTGAACTTATTAAGATAATCACTTAATCAGAATAAACTACTTGCACAAGCATTGAAGATTGAACTAGTCAATCCAAGATTGTATTACCTCCAGCCATACAGAAGTTGTTTCACTTCCTGTAAACAGGTATTTACCAATAAAAATAGTATCACCCTTCTTCACAGCCTGCATAATTATGGACACCTTAGTTAGGAAATACCACATTGTACACATAATAAAGTAAAATATGAGAAATATAAAAAGTAGAGACGAAGTCCCACAAACTCTCATAACACCCCTGTAGAGCCACTTAGAGCAAAAGGCAGAAATAAGATTAAGTTAGACAGAAATAAAAAGTCCAATGACCTTTATGAATTTTCCTAATCATCTCAAACAGACAGGTTAAAGGCTTAGAGCTAATGACCTAATATGAGAATCCCTTGATTACTATCATACGGAAAATTATGATTTGCATATTATAAAAGCAAAAATGTATGGCATGTCTCTTCCTGATGCCAAAAAAATACAAAATAAATAATAAGCTATTACTAAATCATTAGTGGGATATTTAGGCTAGAATTAAAAAAAAAAAAACTGCTGGGAATCTTCGAAAAGAAAAAATTTCAAACTTTTCACAGTGGTACTGTTGTTGATAGTATGCTTGTTCTCTACTTCCTGGGGAAATCTGTCATGCAAAATCCTGAATCCATCTAACTTTCAAAAATTCATTGATTTTCTCAGGTTTCAGTATAATTTAATGGTCTAGTAAGCAGAGATGCACGCACACAAGCAAGCATATGAATGCGATTTTGAAGAATCCAACATATATCTGCCATCAAGATACTAGGGATTCCGAAGATGCCATGGTAATAAAATCCGTAAGTTTAAAGATATCAGATGTCCTCTAACTTTCTCTGACACATGGCTGATTTATTCTTCTTTTGAACATTTAGCACTAGCTGGTACCAGACTACCAGTACAATATAAGAAACAATAAGTTTCTGTACATCAGATGATGTTATGGGGCATATTTTCTTGCTAGTCAGTACAAAGTGATTTATAAAAGCAATGTAAAACAAAGGCTTGACCAGTCAAGAAATTAAAGAACTTGAGCAGTTGAGCCATTCAAAAGGGCCACAATGAAAATTCAGAATTATAAAAAATGCCACAGAAAATCCCTATCAATTATGGAATGATTTTTAATTTGGTCTGAAACTAAAAATATGAAGAAAGAAAGAAAGAAAATTATCCGGGTCTATACAGAAATCGATGATACCAAACCAATCATTCCATAGACCACAGTTAAGAATCACAGAACACCTTATACAGTATATTCTGTATGAAACGCAAAGATGCAACAAAAGAACAACTGATAAGTTCAATTTCACATGTGCAAGAGGATAACAAGCATGTAGTTACTTTGACATAAATAGGCAGAACCCAACAGACTTATTCAACAGAAATATGTTGCAGACCCAATAAATCTGAAATACAAAGAAAAGGTACACAGACCTTTGATAGCCCACTAAAATTTACTGGTAAGAGATTTGAAGTAGCTTCTTTCTTTTGATCCGGAGTTAAGACTACCAATGTGTCTTCTTGAAGGGAAATTGGACGATCGGTTTGATTTACAACTTGCAATTCTGGACCCACAGTATCTAGCATAACCTGGAATTGGACCAAAATGTATGTGTTACATTAATTACCCTTGAGAAGGTATTTGTACATCTGGAAAATACATTTAAAGATAGAAGCTAATGTACAAGTCATCATAGGCATGTATGTACGTTAAATAAATAAACAGCAAACATATGACAAGTTTACCGCGCAGAGTTTCTTGGTACTCTTGATAGCAGCCCTTAAATTTTCCAATGTCTCTTGGTGGTATTCTGGATCACCCCATGAGAAGTCAAACCTTGCCACTAGCACATGGTGAGAAACGAAGAATCAGATTACAAAACAGATGACTCAGAAACAGACCATAGACATGAAAGGGCCACTCGGAACTATAATGAAAGAACAACAAAACAAAACCATTCAATTCATTCATGATATGTGTTTTCCCCAAAGCGAAAAAACAGAGACAGGATAGAAGGAAATAGGTTATTTGTATTTCTTTCCCCTCAAACTTAAGCTTTTTTCGGAAACTACTACCTTCCAGCTTGGTCTAAAACACAGTTGATTCCAATTGAGTGCGCTATTCTAATTTTCTGACAACATGGCAATAAGAGAAAAAAAAATAACCAAAACCCCCCATCTTAATGTCCTTTTACTGAAAGAGGAGAAACAGTGAGGTCAATCTGACAAAAATAATAAAAAAACAACTATTAGTTTTTAAACAACGATCACAAACAACCAATTGTTGTAACGGAACATTACCAGACATTCCTGCATCAAGGCAACGGGAAATTGTCTCAACTGATCGTGACTTTGGACCAAGTGTACCAATAATTTTTGTCATAGCTGGAAAGAAAGTCTGCAGAATGCATTTCAAACACTTCAATCAAAGTCCAAATTGACACAAAAAATGAAAACCTTCATTGAATAAGGACCAAAAATTCTCTTCGAATTGTATATTAAAAACCCTTTCTTTTAATATGTCAACTCTCTATTTAATTTCCATAGCACAAAGACTAACATTTTCTTTTGTTTCACCAAAACGCATGTGAAAAACAATGAAATAACCTAAAGAGTAAATTACATAAACCATCGCCCCTCCAAACTTAAATTGACACCACCTTCCATTAAATAAATAAATAAATACGAAGAAGAAGTTATCAATTTCGTGAGAGTTTTCAACTTCCTCTCCTCAAAGCTTGAAGAACCAGCACCATATCCTTTTCATAGAAACAAGCACAAATAATATTTCAAAACACACTATTGCTTGGACTCCAAATCAAATTGACTAGAAAACTCTAACTCAACCCAGATTTGCTAAGATAAAAATAACACCACTTGTCAGATTAAAAGTGTCTTTCATTTCATCCACGACGGTCATTTTATAACTCGATCTACCAAATTCCTTAGTAACCAAAAGAAAAAGCATCAATACTCACACATAAACTCTAAAATGAAAACAACAAGTAGGTTACCAAAAGTAGACCTCTTACTCAGAATCACAGTGCTTAAAAGAAGACAAGATTAGTAGAACCAACACAACCCATAGTAGCTAGTAATAGTATATAAATAACACCAATTGCCAGAGTAAAAGTGTCTTTCATTTCATCAATCACAGTCATTTTTCAACTTGATCTGCAAAATTCCTTAGCATTTAGCAATCAAAAGCATCATCACCAAAGCCACCCAGTCAAAGGGTCACTAAAAGTTGATTGCTTTCTCATAATCACAGAACTTACTTACAACAAGACAATATTAGTAAAACCAACAAAACAAAACTTCAAAAGAAAAGAGATAGAGAGAGATAGAGAGAAGGAAATGCTTACAGGCTTGGATGGTTCTAGGATGGAAGCCATCCTAATAGGTTCCTCAAGAAGCAAAGGGCTAGACTGCATTTTCACTGATCACTGAACCACTCAAAGGAGAAAGGAAGAAGCAAAATATGAGAGAGGGAGAGAGAGAGAGAGTGACAATCAATTTAAGAAAGTATCGTACAAAGTAAGTAAAGGAATAGAACAAGGAAAGTTAAAAAGTAAATCTGTCTGTGTTTCAAAGTGAATGGTTGAAGCGACAGTGTCAACTGTGCTAGAAAAAATACAAAGTGAGGTCTATAACGTGGGGAAGGTAAGAAACAACATAAACATTAAAATAATAAAATAATAAAACAAAGGAAAACGAAAACCGAAGAGGGTTTTGGATTCAATATCTATGTGTCAACGTCTGTTTTGTTTATGTTGTTGTCTAATACTGGTGGCGACACTGCACACTCGAACAGAACACGATATTTGACTCAACTAAACAAACGGCTACAAAATACAGGTAGCTGAGTGTTAGCTAATACCTGCTATTCTTCAAGACGTTAAAGTTTGCTATGCTTTTTCTTTTTTAACTCTACCCTACTTTTTATGTGTGTATTGGGCAAAAAAATTAAAATAATGCATTTAAATTAAATAATTATGCATTTAATGTTATTTTGTAAAAAATTACACATCTACTGCACAATGTGACGTCACTTTTGGGCGTCATGTGTGCTCTATATATTTCTCCACCACCTCCATTCAATTCACACCTCTTCTCTCACTCTTCATATCTTTCTTCTCCACCAACATTCCCTTATCTTTAATTTAATATTTGAATTTTATTTCTTATTCTATTTAAAAATGAGCTCAAATCCTGATTTTGTTCGTGTTGTGTTATATTACAATAGTAGGAAGGTAGAAGGTCGACGAGGTGTCATCTTCGAAGGAGAAAAAAGGCCGACACGTATTCAACGCAACACAACCATTGGCGAACTGCATCAGAGAATTCGGCAGAAGTTAAGTCTTCCAGACAACCAATGTATCACTGAGATCACGACAAGGGTGTGGCAAGGTGATAAATACATTAGTTTGAAAGTGCTTGACGATGAAGACTTGGAGATGATAATGGAAGAATTTTGCAACCAGCCATGGTTGATTTTGAAAGGAATCTTGCGAGTTTCCGTGAAAGTAGTCCTCAAATTGCTAAGTGGATTGATGCGATTCCTAAGGAAAAGTGGTTGCGCGCCTACGATATTGAGGGACGGAGGTACGGTCATATGACAACAAATTTGGCTGAATCTGTTAATAGGGTTTTGAAGGGGGGCAGAAATATGCCTATAACAGCATTGGTTAAGCATACATATAGCAGATTGGTTGCATATTTTGTTGAGAGAGGAACAAATGTTGTTGCACAACTTCAATCAGCTCATCATCACTCCAAAGTTGTTGTTGAATTGGTCAAGAAGAACCAGGTAGATGCAACAGGCCACCACGTTCGTGCATACAATGTTGAACATACTGTCTTCGAGGTTGACGAAGGTTGGGAGCGTTCATATTATGTCAACCTCCCATAGAGATACTGTCAGTGTGGAAAGTTTAAGGCATTTAAGTATCCGTGTAGTCACGTCGTTGCTGCTGCGTTAAGTGTTAGGCAGAGTGCGTTCACTTACGTTGACGACGTCTTTTTGATAACTAACTTGGTCGAGGCTTATTCTTTTTCGTGGGAGCCAATCGGAAACGAGGAAGCAATACCTGAAATTAGTGGTCCAAAGATTATTCCTGATTCTACTATGTTGCGTGCAAAAGGTCGTCCAAAGTCAACTCGCATCCGCAACGAGATGGATGAAGTTGAGACAAGCCAGAGCCATATCAGGTGTGGACTTTGCAAGGAACGCGGCCATAATCGTCGGCGATGTCCAAGTCGTGGGAGAAACGACTGAGATACATATTATGTCATTATTTTGCTGTTGGTTATGTTATTGCTTGAATTGTAATGTCCGTTACGGCAGACTTTTTACGTTCCGTTTATGTATGTTTTTTTTCTTGTATTATTAAGTAACTGATGCTATTAGTTACCGTAACATAAATGTGCAAAGGACGACAAACAAAACATAAATAATAAAGCATAGTGAATAGTCCAAATAATATAATAATGTAGCGTCCACAAAATAACAACATGCTACAGTCATAACTAATACAAAATAACAAAATAATAACAATATGAAACAGTCCACAACATAGTGAATACTCCAAATGGCAATGAAACTACGACCACGGTGGCCATGGCCTATGTCGTGCATCCCTATCTAGCAGTATACGTCTGTCCCATACTGGGTCTCCCTGATGAGCCTGTGGTGGTGGAGTGTGGAAGTCATCCATCGCCGCACGGATGAAATCATCTGATGGTCCTGCACTACTGCCTGGCACATCAAAAGGGGTGTGTCCCTGACTGTGAGAATCTATGGCTAGAGTCTCCCCACTGTCATTGCTCTCTGTAACAAGGCCTACAGAGCGATACAACTCAATCGTGTCCTCTGCAGACCAAAAAGGGTAATCGACATCAAGTCCCTGTGAATATGGATGGAAATCAGGCTGCGAGGATGCCGGATCCGCTCCTGCCATAGCCATCGAACTCTCCTGGAAAACTAGCTTCTGTCCACTCATGTAAGGATGCTCAGACGCCGCCTGACTAGGATCTGCCGCATATTGCGATCCGTGATGATAAATCGGCTGTGACCCGTAAGTAGGACCAATGACTGGAGGTCTGAACCATCCCTGAGTCTCGACCACTGGTCTCGATGCCATAATCGGGACAGGCTCAGCAGCAACTCTCTCACGTCTACGTCCTAATCCGCGTCCCTCCCGTCTATTACGAGGAACATCCACAATCAACTAAGGATCAGGCTGTGTCTGCACGGGGGGTGCCTCAGGTCCAGGCTCATCAACTCGTGAACTCTCACGAAACATTCCAATAATCCGGCCAATCTCCTCGTGGATATACTCTAGGCCAAATCGAGGAAACTCCTCTGCCGTTGTTGCATGATAAAGCATTTCAAGACCGTCAATCTGCATATTATGAAATCATGTTAGAAATGTGAAACAAATGTAAAATATGTACAAAACTCACCAAGCGGCCTATCTTTGCTGCCCTCCGAGATATGTAGTGCTTTCCCCTCTCTCCGAACCACTCAATGTACGTATGATTAGGTGACATCAAACCATATAATGGAGGTGGCAGTACAATATGCTGAATCCTGGTATTCCATCGATCAATGTGAGCCCTCAGCTTACGTCTCCAGTTCTCTTCAACCTTCCCCCGTAGAGTATGATCATGTATCCCTCTCAACTTTCTAGATTTTTGCGGGATGGGTTGATCAAGACCGAACTGTCGCATGCACCTATCCGGTTGACATGCCTCTACTGTGTGGAAGTAGATAATAGGTGTGGTAGCAAGCCACAGGTACTGCTGCTCTAGAGTCACGTCAAGCCACTCATAATCGATATATGGCTGCCACACCACTTACAAAAAAAAAGCGAAACAATATATAGAGTTACAAAAAAAAATAAACCCATAGAGAAATAACAACATCGTAAGTATCCAACACCTAACCTCATCTCTACAGAGTGTGTCCAATGTTGCCCGATAATGGGTGACCTCATGAGGTTTAAACTTTTCTACAGTATTAAACTTGTCAATCAGAAACATTCATTATCAATCATAATCAAGAAGTATACAGTTAGTATATACATTATCAACCATACATTATCGAAATCAAATGAAGTAAATAAATCATACCGGCATCCATAATGTGTGCCCGGCTCTGGATGAGGAGGAAAGGGTGGAGCAATGGGTGGGAATCGTATCCATGCCCAAATTTGAAGGAGAATATGGCAACCACCCATGTCAGTTCGACAGGCATCTGTCATGTTGAGATATATAGTCCCACATTGGTTGTATGTGCAACTAATGTAGAGTCTATAAGGCCTTGGGCACTCTCACCCTTTGAGCTAGCTTTTGGGGTGGTGTATCCCAAGGTTCTTTACATGGTATCAGAGCCTCGCCGCCCCCCACTTTCTCTTGTGGAGTTTCTTAGCACAGGTAGGTTGGGCCTGTTGCATTGTCCACACTTCAAGCCCAAAGGGCTTTCGAGTGAGGGGGCGTGTTGAGATATATAGTCCCACATTGGTTGTATGTGCAACTAATGTAGAGTCTATAAGGCCTTGGGCACTCTCACCCTTTGAGCTAGCTTTTGGGGTAGTGTATCCCAAGGTTCTTTACAGGGTCAACTTTCACGTTTTGCCATTTACCCATCTAATTAAGGAAAGCCACATCGAAGAAAGCTTTTTAAACAGTGATAATTGCTCCATTTCAAAGGCCGAATCTGAATAGCTATGCAATATGAATAGATGGGGAAATTTTAAGAAACTCTCTACCAAACAAGGAAATCAACAATTGCCAGCTTGATTTGGATGAGAAAATTTTAAGAAACCCCCAACCAAACAGCACCTTAAGTGTAATGTCAACTGTCAAGTGTGAATTTTTTTATTTTTTTTGTTTATCCTTCTCTTTATTAACATTAAATAAATGAAGTCCAATTAAAATTTATGAACCCGGATATAGATGTATATATTCCATATGAGGAGATCATATGAATTTTAAACATCATCAATTCCCAACTTTTGGATGGATGCTAATTTAAATTTATGAACTCGAAACTGAGCAGGTGAGGGGTGAGAGTATTGTTGGAATTAATGAACAATGATCTATTGGTTATGAATAAGAAGTGGGTTAATAAAGAAAAGAGAAGAGGGAAGTTGAAGAGGTGTGTGAGTTTTAACAAAGTCCCACATTGGACAAATAGTAGGAAGTGGGAGAGTTTATAAGCTCTCACCTCACTCTCCTAGATTGGCCCTTTGGGTCACGATGAACAGTCACCGGTTGTACCTGTTCATCGTGACCAGTTAGTGTCTATTTACCGCCGGCGACTGTTCATCGTGACTGGTCAGTGTCTATTTACACCTTCAGAAAACGGATCCAATTTTTCTGCACTGAAACTTTGCCGGAATTTTTCTCCTTCCGGTTTTGCATGTTTTTTTTCATACTCCGATGTAGTTTCTTTTTCAAATTGTGGTAAGGAGACACATTATGTGGGCTCGGATTTTTACTCCTCTGATACTGCATATCATTAT